GTACTACTGTTTCATGAGAAACTATTTGTTCTGTAAGCCTTCACCTGAAGCACGATAAAAAGAAAAGAACCGAACCTCATGTTCAATATCAAGGGCTTTCTATTGTGAAGGATTTTTAAGAAAAAGAGTGACGTGGTCACATTTCCTTTTTCAAAAAGATCCTGTCTCAGGGAACAAACTTCCAGTGACGCAGAGGCATCATTGCATGCTGACCATGCTGTCTCATTTCAACCTGGACTTCTAGTCTAACAGGTATGTTTTTGAGAAAAACATGTTTCTCCTCAGTGGTCAAAACCAAGGGTCTTGACCAAGAGACCACCTGCACCCCTCGAAATATAGGTACTCAGGAAGAGTGCAGTCTGGGTGCTGTTGCCAGCTAGGTATTTTTGCAACTTAGACAAAGAAAATACAGGTAAGCATCTAGTGACTATTCTCTAAGCATCCTGCAAGATGATCTGTAATCTCCAATCAGAGCTATTGCTAACTGGCAACCAGTCAGTGTCTTGCAGCTGTACCCTCTGAACCAATAAGGTATCTTTCTTCTGCCTGGCAAGATCACGTCCCCCACTTCCCTAGTCAGAGATGCACCCGTGGAGAACACCTTGTGGCTGATGCCTGCTGCAGCAGTATAATTATCCCTAATTCAGACTCGGCTTCAGACACCACGCTCATCTCACTGAATTGTGCTGTTCCTGGTTTGAACTGTAATCTTTGCTCGGGGTAAACCTCTATGACTTTACCTTAGACAGACTTAGCTTTCTGTACTGCGGTGACACCTTAAATCCTTAATAAACCTCTCTGTTTTACTTTGAAACAGCATTCAAATTTTCCCGACAACAATCCCCCTCACGTCTAAAAACTTCAGGTATTTGACAGGTTCTGCCAGAGGCAACACGTCCCTCTCTCCCGTCTGATTTCTTACCGAAATATACTCCCTCAGCAGCTCCACGGCAGTGAATTTGGCTTGGGTCTCTGCTCCTGTTCGCACACACACTTGGAGCAGTCCGCTGAGCTGTGTGAAGGGAGCAGACAGCCAGTTAGATCCCGTCCGCGTTCGGGTTCCGCTGTTCCCGCTTTCCAAGGCCCTGGGTGGTGCAAATGGTTTACGTGCTCAGCTGCTAACTGAAAGGTAGGAGGTTTGAGTCCACCTAGAGGTGTCTCGGAGGAAAGGCCTGGCCGTCTGCTTTCGAAAGATCACAGCCATTGAAAACCCTATGGAGCACGGTTCTACTCACACACATAGGGCCACCATGAGTCGGGGCCGCCATGAGTCGGGGTCGCCATGAGTCGGGGTCGCCATGAGTCGGGGCCGCCATGAGTCGGGGTCCCCATGAGTCGGGGCCGCCATGAGTCGGGGTCCCCATGAGTCGGGGTCCCCATGAGTCAGGGCCGCCATGAGTCGGGGCCGCCATGAGCCGGGGTCCCCATGAGTCGGGGTCCCCATGAGTCGGGGCCGCCATGAGTCGGGGTCCCCATGAGTCGGGGTCGCCATGAGTCCGGGTCCCCATGAGTCCGGGTCGCCATGAGTCGGGGTCGCCATGAGTCGGGGTCAACTCAGCGGCAACTGGTTTGGGTTCCCCCTTTCAGGGGGCAGCGCTGGTGAATCGCCCGACTCTGCCTCCCTGGAATCCACACAAAAAAGGAGGCCTGCATCGCAGCCAAGCACCCAGAAGTAAAGCTATTCCTGTTGGGATGTTTTGCCTTTAAACACTTCCTTTGTATTTAGAAACAAATGGTATTTACATTTTTTCCTGGCACTCCAGATGGTGAGAATCATCCCTCCACAACACGGCTTGATCTCACGCCTCTTCGTCTGAGCAGTGGGGAACTGCCGTCAGGGGGCAATTTTCCCGGGGAACCACTAACTGTTGGGGGTTGGCCTCCGGCTGCCACCTGGCGGAGTCCCGCACCTCTGCACCGGCCCAGATCTGCCCCAGCCGAGGCCAAGAAGCAGCTGAAAACCCAGTCACCACAGAGCGTCAGAGCTCAAAGGCCAGAAAACCATCAAGCCTGTCTGCTCGCCTTAGAAATGAGAAAAGCAAGGCTCCGACTGGGGGCGCGGCTTGCTAAGGTCCCCATCCTTAGGCTGGGATCCCCTTAGAAGCCAACCCTGAGATCTGAGCACAAGGAGTTATTAGGGCATCATGCTTGGTAAGGAAACCCTGGGGGCACAATGGTGAAGAGCTCGGCTGCTAACCAAAACGTTGGCAGTTCAAATCCACCAGGCGCTCCTTGGAAGCTCTATGGGGCAGTTCTCCTCTGTCCTATAGGGTCGCTATGAGTCGGAATGGACTCGACAGCAACGGGTTATGCTTGGTAAAGTAGACAGTCTTGAAAAAGAGGAAGACCCTCTTTTTTATTGGCCCCTCAGCCTGACACACTCGTCCTTCGGATCTTCCTTGGCTAGTCCTTCATCATTCAGCTCTCAGCTTAGAAGCCACCTCCGCAAGAGGTCTCCTCTGACTGTTGACTCTGAGGCTGCTTCCCCCTCCCCGCCGGCCACGCTGCCCGGCTCTATGGTCTTCATGGCACCTGACGGCTTACTTGGTGTTGGTTTATTCCTTCTCCCTGCTAGAACGTGAGCTCCATGAGGATGGGGGCCTGTGTGGCTCGTTTGCTGCTGAGCCCACAGCAGCCAGTGCGGTGCCTGGCTCACGGTAGGCACTAGATGGATCTCTGCTGAATGAATGAATGGGCCGTGCCCGTGAGAATCATTTCTGTCTCTCTGTCATTCAGACATACAAGCACTTGTTTAAAAACAACAGTGGAATGCTCGGCTACTAGCCGAGAGGTTGGCAGTTCGAACCCACTCACAGGTGCCTCGGAAGCCTGGCCTGGCAATCTGCTTCCAACAGGTCGCAGCCTTGAAAACTGGATGGAGCAGTTCTACTCTGCACACGTGGGGTTGCCATGAGTTGGAATCAATTAGACAGCAACCAACAACCACAGCGCAAGGACATCAGGTCCTTAAGGACCTGGGCCGTCTTCTCCATGTTTAGGATTCCCATGCTGGCACAGTGCTGGCCCCACTAAGGGCTCGTTGACCTGACTTTCCTCTGTGATGTGATGTTACTTTCTGCTCTGTGGGATTTCACACCAATTTCTCATCCATCTCGGGCGTCTCCTCGGTTCTCCAGGGAAGATGTGTCATTCTGATTCGGAGTTCTCCAAAGGGGTTAATCAGCTGGAGAGGACGCGTTCCCATAGTCCTCAATATATGCAGATTCTTCTCTGGCCTTACAGGAAAGTTTGAAAATAATCTCACGGAAAGTGATAATACCCCCCCTAAAGCATGACCTTAGATGGGGAAAGCTGTTTTCTTTGACCCAACTGGGGGAAACTGTTTGGAACCTTCTGTTTCGTATTTCAGTGGGCAGAATAAATGAAAACATCCATTTATGAGGAAGACTGGTACCCAAGGAAAAATCACTTTTCCCGCTTAAGACAGAGTACTGAGAACAGGGTTTTGTTCCTGCTCCTTCACAAAATACTCTTTAAATGATATCAAAAGAATTTTCAAAAAAGAGTAGACCTTTAACAGCCAGGGAGTGGGGGAGAGATACCATTGAATTAGAGAGCTCAGCAAATCTCTGTGAGAGGGAGAGAGGATGAAAGGACAGACAGAACAGAAGCAGAAAGCCACAGGGGCTTAAAGAACCTTCTGCGCAGGAAAGCCACACGGGGTCCAGCTGTGAGAACGGGGCCCACAAAGATGCTAATTAATTGGTAGTCTGTAGACACCTACTCCTGTCTGATCAATTTACCCTACCCCCTTCTCTCGCCCATCCAGAGGTAGCTGGACACTCTATCCCCAGGCCGACGCGCACATGCGTGAGCGCACGGGTACACACATGTACACACACGCGCTTCTCTTTAAAGAAATTAAATGAAGTATCTGGGGATAATTAGGGCTCCCCCAGAATAAGTGCTGGTACTCTAGATAAAACCCCTTTAAATCTATCATTTGAACTCCAGTCTCCTTTGCTGAAATGAAACCAGCCGAAGAACATGCCCCACACACCCTCCCACAGATATAAAGCTTCTCATAAAATCAACCTCACAAAGTACATACAAAGGCAGAGGAGACCCTGAAAATCCAACCCAGTACCCCATTTTTAAATATTAATGTTTCAAGAAACATAGGCATAAAACCAGGGGCATGAAATAGAAAGAAACAGACCGATAGAAATCTGACCCCGAAAAAAATAAAACAAACAGCTTTTAGTCAAGGAAGAGAGGAAAGTTTAAGAGAAGAAAAAAGAATCTAATTAATATGCTCAGAGAGATTAAAAAATACATAACATCCATTTAAATGCTGAGTAATTGTAGATTCAGATAATAAGAAAAACTCAGTAAGAAAGAGCTTATGGAAATAAATCTATGATTGCCAAACTTAAAACACAAAAGAGTGGTTGAATGACAAGGTTAAGGAAAATTCTCAGAATAAAGATAAAAGACAAGAAAATGGCAACCTTGAGATAAGAAAAAAGGAAACATCAGGATCGATGCTAGAAGTCCAATTTTCAACCAATATGAGTCACAGACAGAGAAAACAGGAAGATGAAGACATTACCAAAATGAAGGAGAAAGTTTTGAAGAGGATTTGACTTTAATCTGAAAGAACAAGCATTGAACAGAATAAACATTTTATAAAGAAAAACTCACACCCAGACACATTGTCCTAGAATTTCAGAGCACCAAGGCTAAGGGAACATCAGAAAAGCTTCCAAACAGAAACTGTGAGGGAGGCTTCTACCGAGGAACGAGGTTAAGACAAGGATCAGACCCCGGAGGCCTGGGTACACATGCTGACTTTCAGACACAACAGGTGTGTTATCGTGGGCACGTTCTCCTGTGCCTCAGTTTCTTCGTCTGTAAAAAGGGGGGTTTACGGCAGTACCAATCTCGTAAGAGTTGTCGTGGGGATTAAATGAATTAACTTATATAAAGGACTTAGAACAGTGCCTGAAGCATACTAAATGCCATGTGTTTGCTTACTGTTATAATTATGCAAGAGGAAAAAACAAAACAACAAAGACAAAAGAAGTCGTAATCATTTGGCATAGACCTCATGGTTGGCTCTCCAGCATCTATTCCGCTCTTCCCATTGTGGGGCAGCTGTGTGACTCGGGGGTGGGGATGAGGATCCAGCTCCGCCCCTTGGCCTAAACCAATCATCCTAATCCCATCAAATCATTGTTTAGCTCTGGGATGCCTAAGTGAACCCAGTGAAAGTGAAGCTTTCTTCCTGTTCTAGCCCCTAGAGTCTTCTGGTCACCATTGTACAGCCCTGAGTGCAGCCTGCTTGAGAATGAAGCTCCTGTGATGACAGGAGCAGGACAAAGCCAAGAGCATCATTGAGAAATGAAGTTGGAGCCATGATCAAACTCGACCTGAAACCCACACACTGCCAGAAGTTTTATGATGTGCACCATCTTTATTGTTCAAACCCACTTGAGTTGAGTTTTCTGATACATCCATCCAAGAGCATCTCCCTGATATACTGTGTGTGCCACGGCCTGCATGCAAAGCTTAACCTTGCGCCAAGTGTTACCTGGATGATGTAAGACAGTGACAAGCCTTTGGATGAAGCACTGATTGAGGAGAAACTCAGCGTCACCAGCAAGGCCACGATAAAGGTAACGATGTTCATGAGGATGTCCATTCTCAGGGCAAACCACCGGAGAGCACAGTTAAAGTAGAGGAGGTGGCTGGAGTTTTCGTCATTAAGCATCTTAAACCTAAAATTAAGAGATCAGATAAAACAGGAGATGAGGTATGCTTTTGTGCATTTAGACTTAGGGCTACTGGAGAAACAAGGCAAGGGAAAATTTTAACCCAGGGTGGCATGCGCTCTTGCATACTAAACCCTTGCAAAAATGAACATATGTCCATGCCCTTCAGAATCTGTTACATCTTTGGCTTGCACATCTGTTGAAAAATTCCATGTGGCAGTAGAGTAAGGTGCTGAGTGGACTCTGTCTTTCCTAGAACTGGCAACTGGAGCCCACGGCTGAGAACAAAAGGTGCTGAGTACCTCACACTCTAACTTCAGCGAATCCCTAACTTGGGTTCAGCCACCCCCAAAGACTTTGCAAAATGGACAGCGGCCCTGTGGTCTGTAAGTGGAGAACAGGAGGGCTGCGGAGGAGGTCACCTTTAAGGAGAGTCAATGATTGTGAGGGCAGAATAGGGGAGGGAGAGTGCCTGACTGGTTCCCCTTCCCAAGTCAGAGAGAGGAGAGTCAAGGTAGCTGCCTATAGCTCTGGGGTGTGTCTTCAAGGAGAGGAAGTTGATGTCTTGTCCCTGTATGTCCATATGTCCACTGAGCCAGAGGACTTGCTGAGAAGAGAAAGAGCACAGAGGAGGGTAACAGAGAGGATGCAGCCAGGGGAGAGGGGCACGGTCCACCCCCTGGAGTGCCTTGTCCCCCCTACCCAGAGGTATGGGAGTCGATGGGTGGTACAAACAGTTAACATGCTGGGCTGCTAGCTAAAAGGTTGGCAGTCTGAGTCCACCCAGAGGCACCTCAGAAGAAAGGTCTGGCCATCTACTTCTGAAAAATCAGCCACTGAAAACACGATGGAGACGAGTTCTACTCCGACACACGTGGGATTGCCAAGAGTTGGAATTGAATCAACGTCAACCGGCTTTGGCTATGGAAGGCAGATCCTGCCGGTTCCTGCAGTTCCGAGAGTTGGGAGTGCAGAGGGAGGAAGATATCTGGGGTGCAGTCCTGATGTGGAATTCCTGGGCACGAGGAACCTCCCACATCAGAGGAGTGCAGTGTGATGGATGCTGCCAGGCTGAGTTTGGCTGGAAGACCCTTCGGATCTTACCGACAGGGCAACGCCTGCCAGAACTGCTTGGGATTGGGCCTGTTGGGCCTTCAGCCTGCCCCCCACATCTGCCCAGTGAGCTGGAGCAGCAGCAGGAGTGGCAGAAGGGAGAGGATGCCTGGCCAGGGCCCAGTGCCTGAAGAGGTGTCTTTCCTCTGAGCCTCCGTCCTCCTGCTCCGGAATCGGAGGACCGGGCACAGAAATCAGGGAGGGCGGGCCTGAAAGACCAGACCAGGTGTTTCTCCAGCCCTGAGCCAACACACCAACACGGACTTACCGCTCCAAGCCTCTGGGGGAAATGGGAGACTTTGACTTAAACACCAACCAACCGACCAGTTGCGGCTGAGTCGGTTCTGACTCATGGTAACCCTATGTGTTGCAGAGTAGAACGCACTCGAAGGTTTTCAAGGCTGTGATCTTTTGAAAGCAGATTGCCAAGCCTTTCTTCTGAGACACCTCTGAGTGGGTTGGAACCGCCAACCTTTCAGTTAACAGTCAAGCATTTGACCATTGGTACCACCCAAGGACTCCTAACCAGTTGCTCTTGAGTCGATTTCAGCTCATGGCGACCCAGTGTGTTATAGAGGAGAACTGTGCTCCATAGGGTTTTCATTTTTGAAAGCTGATCACCAAGCCTTTCTTCCAAGCATCTCTGGGTGGGTTTGAACCGCCAACCTTTCAGTTAATAGTCAAGTGCATAACCATTTGTGCCACCCGGGGACTCCTTGTGACTTAAGTATGAGATTGAAATTTTAACTAGTCTGAACTAACCATTAACCAAAGAGATGTCAGATTGGGTAGACACTGAGGGTTCCCCTGACCTGGTGGGAAAGGGGCTTCATCCGAACAACTGTAGCAATTATTGGAAACAAACGAAAACACTAAACCCTTTCAATGTTTAAATCCCTAAACAGTAAAGATTCCTCCACTGGCGCAGCTGTGAATGTCATCAGCAGGGGCAGATTACCCAGCAAGCAAGGTAAGCACGGGTTTACTTGCACTTGCTTACTAATCGTGTGAAATTGGTCACCACAGATTAGTAAGTAAGCACAAGTAAGCCCGTGCTTACCTTGCTTACTGGGTAATCTGTCCCTGTCAGTGATTTCTAAATTTGAAAAGAGACTTTGATTCTGTAAGAGGGCGCTGTTGAATGGGAGAGAGACAGATGCCAGCCGTACCTAAAAGCAGAATCTTTGATGTGAGGAAAAAATGTGTAATTGTTCACTACAGATAATCTAGTAAGCAAGGTAAACACTGTGCTTACCTTGCCCATGGGATAATCCGCCCCTGGCCATCAGGCGTCGCAGCTGCACCCTGTTCTAGAATTCCTCAAAGGATTCTGTCTGAAGGCTCCTCTGGCCAGCCACCCTCCTCACTTCTGTTTCCACTCTAACTTATTTTCTCCAGAGCTTAGTCAAAATATCCTTGCAAACACTGTGTTCCTATCATGTAGCTGTAAAGCCTACAAATTCAGTTGAGAACTTAACTGACTTAGCAGTCATCTGTGGTCTTATGTGTGGTTGGCTGGACTGAGCAGAAACAAAATCACTAGCTGGGATCAAACTGGAATTTGACCTCAAGCCTTTTTTTTAAGTGTTATAGCATTTCTCGTCTAGTGGCAAAAGCAATACATGTCAGAAGCCCAAACCCTCTGGAACATCTATGACAAGAAAGAGAATGTTACAAAAACGGAGACCTCATCAATCACGTAGGGCCCAGCTCTCTATGGAATTCCCTTGGAGACCTTGGAGGAGAATCTGCAGGAAGGCAAAGCTTGAAACAGTTTTGCTTATTGTGGGTGAGCAGATGAACGGTTCCATGGGTGGGAGCCTTTCCTCACGGCCAGAACATGAGAAGGGTCTACATGTGGCTGCAGGACTCTTGGTGGATGGTGTTCAGGTCAAACTAGTAACAGGACTAGCTGCTGATTGAACAGAAGACAGAGCTGTGATGCCAAGTCTAAACTGAGATCCTGGGTGGTGAAGTATGAGGACAGTGACAGAGAATTAGATGCGATTAGATTGAAATGTGTGTTAGCTTTTTAAGGAAAGAAAAGATAGAAAAACAGAAACATCTGTGTAACAGACACTGCTATAGATTCATCAAACTCTATTTTCTTTTCCTCGTATGGACTCAGCTGGACTATATTTCCCAGCCTCCGTTGCAGTTAGGTGAAGCCATGTGGCTGAAATCTAGCCGATGAATGCCCAGAAGTGATGAGGGTCTCCGCTAGGGTTGTACCATAAAAGCTTTTCATGGCATCCTTCCCCCTCCTCTTCCCGTTAGACACAGAGGATCCTGGGGAAGACTTCAAGGCCCTTGGGGATGGCAAAGCCCCAGATGGAAAGAGACTGGGTACTTGAGTGTGGAGCATAACCCTCCATGGATCCTCATTGAATTATGACTTGAGGAAGAATAAACATTTTGTATGTGTGTGTTCAGCTCCTAAGATTTGAGGTTGCTTATTACAGTGGTGAGTCTACTGTGACTGATATAATTTACATAGCATTTTAGAAATATTTTTTGCTGGACGATGCCTCAGAAATTACTAATCTAGTCTCCACAACATTTTAAGAAGGAGAAAATTAGTCTATTCACTGGGTGGAATGTAATGTTAACCTTTAAGTATTACTTTCATGTAATATGTCATAACATGAAAAATGCTATTTTAAATTGTGAAGTAAAAGAAAAAATACTTAAGAAAAAGAAAACCCTATGAACAGAAAGAAAGAAAAGACTGGAAGGAAATATATGGAAGTATTAGTAGGATTTGAGTTTGGGGCCTATGAGTGGTTTTCTTCTTTGTTCCGCTTTCCCCCATGTTCCTGAATTCAACACATTTTACATCTATACTGAAAAATAAAACGTGTGAGGTCACATACTGAAGTTGTCATCGAGTGAGCTCCCCTAATCCACATCTTCATGGGGCCCCAGAAGCTGGGGAGAAAGGCCAAATGTCTTACAGTGTGCCTGCCAGCTCTTCGTCTAGGGTCAGTCAGTCACCAGGGAGCCCAGGCTTCCCGTCCCAGAGCCACAAAAGCCATTTGTTCTTGTGACCACATGTCCATGGCCAGGCGTGAAGAGGGGAGCCCTGGGCCAGGTGCCCAGCCGGGACTCACTTGTGGATGCAGTCCTCCTGTTTGTCATAGGCATGAATGATGCCCAGCCCCTGCATGGAGGAGGTGATGTGGGAGAACCAGGGCGACCGGCTGACGTTCTCCACCTTCTTGAGCTCCTGGACTCCTCTGTGGAACACGCTGCAGGAAAATCGAGAGGGGCCAAGAGGGCCTCAGAGTGGGGGCTCCCACTCGGCACATACGGATTCAAGTATCCAATCAACGCAAAGCTTAAGTCAGAGCGTGTACCCCTAACTGGGGAGGGTGGGCTGGCCACCATTCTTCTCTAGGAGGGTGTATCCGGGGCATGTGAGAGGTGGAGGTCTGAGAAATGAGAGTCTACCAGTTCTTTGTCTGGTCTCCCTCCTGAGTCCCTCTGTAGCATGAATGTCTCCCTGCCTGAGATGTGGTTCTAGTCTTTGAAGATAAGTGCTTTTCATACAACGAGGTCCCTAAATACAAGCCAACCACTTTTTGGTGCCCAACCAAAGAAAAAATGGTCTGTTCCAACTCTGGAGGAAGGCCTGATGTATCAACTGCCAACACGTGGTCTTCTGCAGGCACTTTCAAAGGTAACTTTGACCAAACATCATTCTGGCCTCAAGAGCTGCCTTTAGAACCAACCCTCTAAATACAACTGCAACTGCCCTGGGTGTGGGAGCTCCAGGACCCTGGTGAGCACATGACCACTGCCCTCGGGAATGGACATTGGCAGGATGGCCGTGAGAGCTAATCTACCCTGTGTGTTGGAG